AAAAAAAAGGAGACAACTGTAATACTTTCAACAATAAAGATAAATTTAAAAAAAATAAAAATAAAAATAAATATTAAAAAAAAAAAAAAAAAAAAGAAACTGAAGTTCAAAAAAGTCGAGTGACTTGCCTAGGGTCACACAGCTGGGGTGCGGGGGAGCTGGCACAGGAACACAGGTCAGTTTGACACCAATGTGGTGTCTCCCGGAATGAAGGCTGATGGGCACCGGTGCAGCGGGGTCACTCACCATCCTCGGAGACCTCCGACCACTCAGGGTTGGGGAAGCCATACTGGCCCAGGCGAATCCTCCTCTTCATTCCCGGGGAGATGGCCTGGCCCGTGTTGGAGTAGAAGGGCGGGAAGCCGCACAGGCTGCGGGAAGGCGGGGGTGGTTTGGCACAGGTGTGGGGGCAGCGCCAGAGCCGACCCTCTCTCCTCCCCAAGTTCCTGACCGGGGAGACCGGCGGCCGGACGCCATGGCGACAAGCCCAGCCCTCTGCCCCCCGCCCCGGGCTCCTCCCAGGGACACTCTCTGCCCTTGGTATGGAGAGGCCCATCCGGCAGCCCGAGGAAGGGGTGTCCACGACCAGAATGGAAGAGCAGCCTGCGCGAGGGACCTGCTCAGTCTCGTCAAGGGCGTGTGAACTGAGGGTGCCTGGCGGGGGGCAGGGGGGGCGTGCAGGAGGTGGAGGCGGCTGTACTCACAGGATGTACATGATGACGCCCAGGGACCACATGTCACACGACTTGTCATACTTCTCTGGACCCAGGACCTCAGGAGCTGCCAGGGCAGAGGGCACAGGAGGGCTCTCAGTCCCCAGGGTCCTAGAGCCCAGGCAGGAGCCTGAAGCCTGGGCAAGGTGGGGAACAGGTGTCCGTATGAGAGAGGGGGGCAGAGCAGACTGGTGTCTGGCACCTTCTGGGAAGGCAGCATGTGTGTGAAGTTGGGGGAGGAAAAACAGCTCCCAGAAAAACTCAACGCGCCTTTAGGCTGGCTGTAAGAAATGATAGCTCCCAGCTCCTCTGGGCCGGTCTCAGGCTTGGTGAGGGAAGAGGAGAGATAGGCTGGGCTGGGGTTTGGTGAGGTCCCGTCCTAGATAAAAAAGCCTCAGCCACCAGCTGCCCCGCGTCTCTTGCCTCCCTGAACACACAGGGCAAGGAGGGACTGGGGGAGGGCTCTGGATTCCACGGTCAGTTTGGATTCCATCTCACGGGGCCTTGGTCTTTCCGTTAGTGCAATGAGATGAGCAGGCCAGAAGATTTAAGTCAAAATACTGCAAAACACGTCCGGGTAAACAGAGTGCCATTTCAGTTGTCTCGAGGCCTGCGCACCGCTTCAGCAGCTCTCGGAAGGCCTCTCCTGAGGGAGAAGAGCCCCGGGCGAAGGGAGCCATCACCCCACGCTCAGGTGACGCACTTTCAGCAGGGACCTTTCCAGATCTGAGGGCTGCCTGCTCCCAGGGAGTGAGGGACTCTTCCAGGAAGCATGAGTGTGCATACCCCAGGTCCTGTCCATGCCCTGGCCTAAGGGACTCTCTCCCACGAGGCAGGTGGCTGGTGCCTTTCCCCTCAGGCAGGGGGAAAGGCCTGCTCACTTTCTGTATACGAATCCCAGGAAGATATGCACGGGAGAAAAACCACCAGGCTGGGCTCTGTCCAGAGCTGATGGCAGCCTTTTATCACGTATATATTTAGAGCTGCTGTGATGTCATTCAGCTCACAGGCCGCAGCCAGAATTTTCCTGGATCTATTTTCAAAGGCAGAAGCTGAAGTTCGGAAGAATATTTTTGCAGCCTCCGGGGCCCCCCTCGTCACTGCCTCCACGCAGACGGGATGACCCCCTCCCTCTTCCTTGGGCTTTCACTCTTTGACTTCTGCAACCCACCAGCTGCCCCACACCGCCGCAGGGTCCAGCATGGGCCGGGGG